CCAGGCAGGGGAACAGGAGAGTTGCGACTCGGGGAGCGTCAGCCGCCGCTCTGCTCCGACTGCTGGGGTTTGGCGCGCTGGCAGGGGCGGCGGGGGAGGGGGCGCCGAGGGAGGGCCAGAGGAGCGGCGCGGACGCCAGCCTCCTTTTTGCCTCCGCCTTCTTTCTTTTCTGCTTGCTCCACGTAGCACAAATCAGCAACTCCCGCACCCCCAGACGCCCTCCCCCTAGCTCGTTTCCTCACCTGGTGTGTAGCCCCCAGAGCCCCTACCCTCTGCGCCCTCCTCCCCCATTCATTTGCCGAACTTCCTGCCCCAGCTGCAGGGCCGGGGCGGAGGGGTAGCCTAAGCCGCCCATTCATTATCTTACCAACCCCCCCCACCCCATCTGACACACCCACGGTTAGAGACCCGCAGCCGCCAGCTCAGGATCCCCACCCCCACCCTCTCCAGCGCTCACCTACGCGCCCGACAGCTTGCGGGACTCGGGTGGGCTCCCGCATACATTGCATTTTCATTTTGTCGCTCTTCTCTTCCCACTCGAAAAGCTCTAGAAAACATCGCAGGGCCCGCAAAACCCCTGAAGTATGGCCTCTCTCGTAGTTCACTGTTTCTGAACTTTCCAGAAGGCGCCAAGTTTCTCCCAGCGCCGGCTTTAACTGGAGGCTGCAAAGAACGAAGAGTTGACTTTGCTGCTAGAAAGGTGCACACGTTTCTGCTTGTGAGTTTTCAATTGACTGAGTCTGCAAACCAAAGCAAGTGTGACAGTGCTCCCCTAGTTTTCCATATCCACGATTATAAATTTCTCTTCCGCTTTCCCAGTGTAACTTTGCAAGTGCAAACTATCAATTTTAGAAGAGTAATTAAGGGCGGGGAATGCACACCTGAAGGTGTGGGCGGGAGCGGCACGGGACTAAGGCCTGGGGATCGTTCTCCGGAAAGTGGCAGCCACAGAGATTCGCCTGGTCCTATAACACCCAGTGAATCTGGAGCTCTCCAGCCGCACCACCCCCCACCCATCTCCCACCCCTGGCTTCCCAGGATTTCCGGAGTGTTGGCAATTCTTTGCCTTTCGCTCCGCTGCTAAAGCCGCCACACATCAAAAGTAGCCGCTTAGGAGTCAAAGCTGAGTGAGCTCTCGCCTGAAACGGCACATAGGAGGCCACGACAGCAGTGGGACATGGGACTCAGCCGGACTGATACCACTGCTTCCAAGAAAGAAACACAGAACAGCGAGGGAGGGCTGCAGTGGTGGTGGGCACTCGGTAATCTTGGGCTTCGCAGAAAGGAGAGGTCACTGTAAACCGCAGTGGGCGGGGAGAGGAAGACTTCTTGGAAGGGATGGAAACTTTTCAAGCTTCCAGTGAGGTACTTCAGGGAACATGACCATCTCTGGCCAGTGACTGCTTAGAACCTTGCCTGAGTTCACCTTGTGGTTTTCACACGATGCTCAATTATTGGCTGCTAGTCAATTATTATCTGAAGCTGTTTCCTTTTCAAAACCATCTATCAAATCCCCTTTTCTATAAAATGACCTTTAAACGGCTCTGCTTTCTCTCCCTTCTTACCAATTTGTGACTTGTTTTACAATAATCCACTTACAATGTGAAAAAATTAGAAATTTTAATATATGCACAGGGCTATCTACGCTCATGTGTTCATGTAAATACTGTCTTATCTCACAAATAATGAGAGGAGTTGATCTTAAACTCTAAAAAAATGTTATACTGGGATGAATAGGAAAATGTCCACTATAAAATCTAAGTATAATAAAACGTCTATATTGGTAAGAAAATAAGAATATACTGAAAGGTGCTCTTTTCAAGCATAGCTCTACCCAACTGAGAAAAATCACCTAATTTCCCTGTCTCCTTACTCCACACTCTTTTCATCTACTGTTAGGTCTCTCAATACCAAAACTTCTATATGTAATGAAAAGAATATTTTAAATTTTTATTTCAAATAATTAAATTATTATTATATCAATAAATTTTTAAAATAATTCTTTAATTAATTTAAAAATTATTTCAATGTTTAGTCCTTCCTCATAAATCAAAAGTGCAAATGAGTTTCTTATCTACCATTCAGCTTGAATATTTTCCAATATATTGATTTTATCTCTTACCATCTTAAGAAATATGGCTGTTCCTGCTTTGACTGTGTATTAACTACCTGAACTACCCTGTGGTCATTTCTAACGTCAAATGGGGAGTTCTGTCCTCACAAGACATGTGTATTCAGAGTTCTAAGTTATTTGCTGTAGAACACTTTATTTCCTCTTTATTTGGTCTACCGTGGCCTAAAAGGAAATGGAGAACAAAATACAAGGTCAGCCTGGACAGACCTGTCTTCCTGACAAGTGTGGACCTGTCTGAAGGAGACTGCTCTGCAGCCAGTTTTAGGTCAACAACTTTAAAGTCAAATGTAGGTTGTACACCAAGCATAAAAGGAGAGAGAAAATGAAATCCAATACAAAATCCAGTTCAGCACAGAAATTAATCCATCAAAAGTAGTATTGTGTTCCAAGTGAGCCAGTTTTCTCATCTGTAAAATGGGATAACTATACCAGTACAGTCTATTTCATTGGGTTCTAAGTTGTCTTTATCAAAGGAGGATAATATATTTGAACAGGCTTCTTAAAACACTCAAGTGGATGATGTTGTTGCAATGGAGATGAAGGATACCTTGATATTTTCTCTAATGTTTTTATCTGTCTGTGGCCTGCTTGCCTTTCAGACTTATTCCCTTTCTTAGATCGTCATCCTAATGCCTTCTGTCCTAGGCCTTCTCTCTTAACCTCTGCCAAGCAATGTTTATCTAGATATGTTTCTTCAGATGACTTCAGCAGAGCCGAAGACCCAAAGACAGCTGGTGCTGTCAAATGTGAGAACAAACATTTTCAGCAAAATGAAGAGAATTTTAATGAAGAATATTTCAAGCAGAGTTTACACTAATATCTTACAGGATACTGTAGACTTTGTCAGATTATTGATTTTATCTAGTGGTCCAAGGATTATAATTTGCAAAGCATTTAGGATTGAAAAATTGGCTGTCACTGCTTTGGGCTCTATTATTTTTCCAGAAGGGTTTGCTGGTCATGCCAGCTCTCTCCTCCTCCCCATATTCCCTTCTATCTGGTAAAAAAAGCCTTTGCAATTTTCTACTACAGAGTAATCAAAGCTATCAGCAAAAAGATCTGTTGGAAACTTTCCCTCCAGTCTATTAATGTAGACGGATTCAAAGACTATATTTCGGTAAAACAATACCCTGAGAGAATTCAGCGTGCTTGGAAAAGTTTTTCAGGTGCTCCTGGGCATAGGTTTCTTCCCTCTTAAAATGGAGTATTTGTGCCTCCCTGGTGTTTTTCCCCTCATTCTCCTTAGGAAACCTTTCTATTTTAAAAGGCCAGTGGCAGAGGTGAGTGAGGCAGTCCAATTTAGTAAAAAATAAAATAACACTCTTTAGGGTAAAAGTGGCACAAGGAAACTCCAGAAGTGGGAAGTAGAAGTCAGGATTGTGTGTACAGCAGCCATGTGTGAAAACTAGACTGCAGTGAAATGAAAACCCTAAATACACTGCTCACCTTTTTCTCATCACATTTTTCTGCATGAACAATCTGGGTAATGTCTGAAGTAGATCAAGGACCAGCAAATCCTTTTCCTGGAGTCTCCCTCACCCAACCAAAAAGCCTTCGATCTAAAACAAAGGGGGAAAAAAAGAAAATGAAGAAGAAATGTGTGTTATATGTGTAAGTTTAGAGCTAAAAATAGACCTAGACACAAAGAAATCATAGAAAGGGTCACAGAACAAAAAGCTAGTTCTATAAAACAATAATAAAATTGATAAATTTCTAGTAAGATTGATAATGGAAAATAAGAGAAAAGAAATAAGATTATGAATGAGATTATAATTATAGTTTCAGTAGAGTTTTAATACTAAGAGAATATTGTGAACATTTAAAAACTTGTATAAAATAGATACTTTTTAGAAGATGTAAATTATTGATTCAAAAAAATTAAAAACATGAGATAATTAGCACTCTATATATATTAAATTAAAAAAAATATGGGATCCCTACCTCACACTGAAAACAAAAATAAGTTCTTAATGTTGTAAAGATCTAAATTTGGAAAGTAAAACTTCCAGATTTTTAGAATATCTTCATCATTTCAGGGTAGAGAAGAATTTCTTAGACAAGGTACAAAAAGCACAAACCAAAAAAGAGTCTCCTCCTTTCTTTCAAATAAAATATGGCTGATGCTAATATGCTGGATTCTTGTGAGATCTAGTAGTTGAAATGATGTCAGCCTCGAGTACTGCAGTGAGTATTCCAAAGAATATGAACGGTATTGTACCATCCTGTGCAAAAATGGGGCAGAGGATTTTCTTAAGCCATGTATATTTTATGTCATTCTGTTGTTTTGACTTAGTCTATTATACCTTCTAGAGCAAGGTGGAATCAGCAGTACTAGTGGTCCCTTACTAGGAGGCTCTGAAACATTTTTGAATGTAGACCCCTTTCAGAATCTAATCAAAGCTATGAAATTGCTTTACAAATACATGTAGAGTATACATATTATAGCAGAGGCCTCTATGTACGATATCCATTCTTGCCTTCTTGGGCACCAGCTAGACAAGATTTCCCAGCCTCTCTTACAGTTAGTTGAGGCCAGGTAACTGAGTTCTCTCCAGTGGAATGTGAG